TGTCAAGTGTCTCCCTGAGTTTGTGGCATAGAGATTCTAGCGCACTAGGAAGGATCGAAGGCATCATACAGGAATTCCCAGGTTGGAGCATCATAATAGTCTGAAGAAGAATTATATGTCAGACTCCTTTCCTAGAGGAAGGGTCAGGAAAACTGACCGCCTGTAAAAGTGTGTGTATTAACCATGCCTTTCATTTCCTGATGCTTTGACAGCTTGGGGCTTTGCGGACCCTGGGGGGTCTGCCCTTCCCTAGGTTAGCTAATTTCTAGAGACAGCCAACAACTAGCCTGTGAGGAGGCATTTCATATGCAAAGCAACCAGCGCAGAGTCCATAAACTTGCTGACCTCCTTTACTTTGGTTTCACACTCTGGGCCACTAGCCACCTGCCCTCATCACCACAAGGCCAGGTGCCAGACATCTAGGACAGCCGCTATGCCCGGACACTGATGAAATTATTCAAACTAGTTGATCCTAAACCTGCTTATCCTGCCTCTCCCCCTTCTTCCCATGGAAACCACAATAAAAGGCTCTTGCCTGTTTCCCCGCCCTCCCTGACCTCTGACCTCTGCCTCCTGGCTGACCCCAGTGCTTCCCTATGTGATTTCTCATGTCGTTTTCTCTTGGGTCTGTCTTTTCAATGGCAGCCATCTCCTGATCTGTTGGCTTTGCTCCACCTAAATAATAATAAAAGGTATATTTTAAAATACTGTGTGGTGATCACGGAAGTGATCACTAGAACACCCAGGTTGCTCTGAGCAGAGGCAAAGCATACGTGCCTTGATGTGTAAGGAATGTTCCAGATAGTAAGCACTCTCAGGGATGGGCATGTGTTGGGTTGCAGCCTCCCCAGGAGCTTCCTGGGTGTAATCTAAAATCAGCCCCTTTACCGCAGAGGGCAGGGAGAGACCAAAGAAAGGGCAGACCATTTCAGGTTGGGAGCCCACAGGTTTCAAAAACAAGGAAACTTACTTACAAGGCTTGTCTTAGGCAGCCACAAGACTAGTACATTTCCATGTCTACCCGCTAAATCTTAAGAGTTTGTGTAGAGGCTTTAACTGGGGACAGTCACGTACACAGGAGGCTTCATGTACCCGCTCGTCACCTCATTACTATTTGCAGGCTGAGTCCTTGGGCAGCTTCTAGCATGGGGAAGGCAAACAGAGTGCACATTCCAAGGATAGTGGAGGGACTAGGGAGCCTTCAATTGCCTGGGTCCAACTACCAGGTCAAACCAGTGGTCATGTCTTCTTTATGACCTTCCCCAACATTATCATTTTGCTTCTCTATACCTCTGGTGCCAAGAACAGAGCCTAGAACAGTGTGACTCGATGTTTGTTGAAGAATGAGATGATAGTGGTGAAGATGGGATGTTGATCTGAGTTCTTCTGATCCTCTTCATGGCCTCCCCCATCTTAGCACACATTGGAGTGTGTAGGGTAGGGAGACATCCTGTAGAGAGAGAAGACCCAGTCAGGGGCTGGTAACACCAAAGGCACAAGCAAAGACTATCTTTATTGTGTGAGAGACCAGGGTGTCACAGGCAGAAGGGACTTGAGCTGAGAAGTCATGATTTGAAGGGGGAAATGGACAGAAGATGAAAAACAACTCCTGGGTCCAGAGGGAAGGGGAGGGAAAGGAGAAGAGAAAGTAGAAATAAGTGCCCTTAGGAGCAGGGGAAGAGAAGCAGCAGGGCGAGGGTGGCCTGGGTTCCTTGGCAGCATTCCTGAGAAGCAGGGTTGTCACAGAAGGGAGCTGTGCATCCTACTCACCCAGCCAGGTTTAGGAAAGGGCTGCCAAGGTTGGGAGGGCAGGGACATTTTATACTCTGGTGGCATGTCATGAAGGCATTCCCTCCTCTCCACTAACAAGCACTGACAGTACTTGAGATCTAAGGTATCTGGGGAGGGTCAAGCCTCCAAAAAGAGCCTGAAACAGTCCCCAGTGCATGCCTGGAGATGTGTCAGCTGCCTTTGCTCTTGCTCTCTGCCTAGGGAAGGCTTTCTGCCTTTCTCCTTTATCCCTCTCCTCTCCTCCTGACAGCCCCACAAGCGTGAGAGCTGCCCTTCCAGGCACTGCCTAGTTTTCTGACATCCCTCACTATAGACCTTTTGTTTACTCCTTCGACAGGAAAAGGTAGAAAAGGTGTAGTATAAGAGCCTTGGTTGTCATCTGCTCAGATACCATTACATTGCCATTGAGTAATTCTGTCCATGGAAAAGTAACAAAAATCCCAGCTGGTAGAGGCTTAAAATTAAAATAGGGGCTTTATAAAGGTTACTACCTTCATTTTAACTCCTATCATATCCCAATGCCTGTCGTGAGGCAGAACTCAATAAATACTTGTAAAATGAATTAATACAATTGTTTATTATTTACTTATGAAAAAATGAGGTTCAGTGAGTCTAGACTTTGTTCAGTGGCTGAATAATGTTGTTATAACCTCAGATCCTTTCTACTTCACAATCCTTATAGTTTTTATTCAAGCTCACAAGATGGTTGACTTTCTCCCCGGTGACAACTCCAGGTCTAACATCCTCACACCAACATCCAAAGCAATAAGGATTATGGATAATTTTGAGTCTCTGGTTTTTATTCAGGAAACAAACTCTTTCTCAGGAGTCCCAAGCAGAGTTCTTCTCTGTCTTCTTGGCCTGACTTGGGCCACATGTCACAACTTCATCCCATGCAAAGGTGGCCAGGAAAGAGAATCCTTGACCAACAGGAGCAGGAGCTTCATTATTGGCTTAAACAATAACTTATCCTTCAGGACAGGGCACATGACCACCCTGAATGAAATTAGGATGCTGTTAACACAGAGAAAGGGGAATTTGGCCACAAAGTGGGCAATCAACTCTGTCAGCCAGAGTTACAAAATCCAACTTCTGCCTCTGGTGTTGCCAACCTTTCTAGCCTCCATCTACACTTTTTGGCTTTTTCTTCCAAAGAGGTGCTCCTCTGATGTACAACTATTTCTTCTACAGGCACCTTGAGAATGGACCCCAGGGACAGTTAAAATAATGACTATCCCTCAGTGACCCAGGTTGAGGTATAGAAAGAGGGATAAAAAGCAAGAGAGAAAGCTGTCTTGGACTCAGAGTTGGGCTTGACAGTAGAGTAATAGATTGTTCATTATAGCTTCTCCATGGGCCAGGCACTAGTCTAAGCACTGGTGATTCAATGACAAGCAAATTAAATAAGAATTCATCTTTCATGGATCACATGTTCCAAGGGGGGAGATAATCCATTAACAGATAAATACGTATTATGATGTCAGGACTGTGAAGCATTTTAAAAAGTGGGTGGGGGACAAGAGATAGAGCATGATGGGAAGGCTTCTCTGAAAAATATTGAGGATTGACCTTGTGTGTGGAGAACCGAGTAACTATCTGAGGGACACAGAGTAGAAAGGCCCTGAGGTAGGAGGCTGGCTATAACTTATAGGAACATCAAGAGTGCAGGTGTGACCAGAATAAAGTAAGCAAGGATCAGAAGTGAGGTTGGATATAATCAAGGGCTAAATGCAGGGGTTTTTTTGGCCATGATACATGCTTGGGATTTTATTTTATGTGTAAAGAGAAGTCACTAGAAGTGTACTTTGGATGGGAAAGTGATGTAATTTGGTTTATATTTTAAAATATTCACTTTAGCTGCCATAAATATGAGTACATTCTGAGTTATTATTACAATGATTAATAGTACACAATTAAACAAAACATTTATAACAAATTTTGATTAGTCAATAACCACAAATGGTATTTTTTGGAAACATATTTCTTAAATGAGAGAGATGGAGCTGCTATTTTCCCCAAGTGATTTATGTACCCATGAATGAATAATCCTAGAGAAATAAATTTTAGAAGAAATTTTATTCCTATTTTTTCTTTTTATAGTTATACACTGAGACTACTTCATAATGAAGTGTATAGGAAAAGAACATTTTATTATAATAATGTCATTCAATTTGTTTGAATTCCTTTTGAGGTGTTTGTTAAAAATAACACTGCAAGTTGATATTAAAAATTATTCTGATGGCCTATCAATTGATAACTGTGTTAAGTTCTCCTTCAACACTGAGTCAAAAACTGGAAACTTCCCAACATGTAAAGGACTTGTTACCCAGTCACTGGATCATTCAACATTGGCACCAGTATTTTGAATCTTTTTTTTATTTTTGTTTTTTTGTATTGTTAGTATTATGCAGATTTTTATACCCCATGTCAATGAACCATGGGAAGTTCAGAGACAGGTAAAGGCTGTATTTTTCTTTTGTTTATGGGGGGAGAAAGACAGTAGCAAGCTTATCACCATGATCAAAGCAGATCTCTGGCACGAAAGTTTAGGAAACAGCATATATACAAACCAAAAATTTAGAAACTGATTTTTTTAAAAGATTTTTTATTGGGGAATTGGGGGGATGGGAACACTGCTGGGGAATTGGGGGAAGGGGAACAGACAAGTTGCTGTCGTTTTGTTCTTCAGTCTAGTTGTGGAGGACGCTGCTTCACTGGCCCAAGTTGGCACCATCATTGCGCTCTTCCCGGGCGAGGCAGATCAGTCGCCGGCTTCTGGACGGCTGCTCACTGAGGCTGCTGGCTGCTCACGCTGGCTGCTGGCTACACACGGTAGCCCATGGCAACCTACTGCCACAGGGGCTGCAGCCTAGCCGTCGCCGGCGACTCATGGCAGCCCAGCTCCAGGTTGAGCTGTTGTTCAGCATCTTAGCTGTATAGGGCAATGTCACTGGCCCTCATATGTGGGATCCGAACCGGGGCCCTCTGGCGTCCCAAGCCAGTTCTTAACCATCGCGCCACTCGGCTGGCCCTAGAAACTGATTATTTTAAAACTGCTTTTGTCTGCCTCCACCTTGCAAAAATTGACTTTATTACCTAAGAAACAGGGTTGTAACAAATGAAAGGGAGTCCTGAGTCGGGTTTCCTGTTTGGGGTCATGATTTCATTACCGTCATGGTCACACAATCGGGGTCTCATCCTCCTCCTTCTCAGGTCAGGTGGCAGCAGCGGGCAGTGGTCCAGCCTACCAAGCCACACTGGCAGTGGCATGTGGTTTCCAACGGATATGCCCGGAACCACAGATACCACCACAAGCACAAGGCCCGTGACGTCTGTGTGGGCTCATGAGACACAGATGTCAGAGCCCTGAGATTTTGAGCGGAAGGAGACCCATCCAAAACAACCTTTCATTCCTGCACAGCCCAGGGGGAGATCTAGGCTCTGTAGGATCTAAAACTAATTCAATTGTGAAGGTCCTCTTTAAGGAAAAAATACTAAAACAAATTTAAGTATACGGTAGTGGAGAAAATCCATGAAAGTGAGGGGTCTGGGTGTTTTTGTTCCTTCAGATTCACGATAAACGCACCTCTGTGCTGGTCCCTACACACTAAAATGGGGCAATAGGTTGAGAAAGGGAGATGAATGACAGGAGAAATGATAGGTGATAGGACCATGACAGGACAATTGAGGAGAGAAAGGTCGTGAAAGGAGGGGGGGAAGGGAAGAGGCAGAAACCACAGATCCCTCAGTAACATCCTTAAGTGAAATGAGAGTGGGTAAGCGATCTCTGGGAGCCAGGGCTTATGACTCAGCCCCAGGCTAATACAAACATGAGATGGTGAGAAGGTGCAGATGCCAGGGATGGACAGGGCATCTTACCTGCCATCCCATCTCATGGAATGACTCACCTGCAGGGCAGGAGGACAGCTTGCATGAGCTGCTGATACTGGTATGTGAGATCTTTGTTGGGATAAAAGGATTGAACTCTGAGTAGGAGAGAAGAAGGCTTATTGCTTATGATCTCTGTCTCCATATTCCCCTTCCAAATTGCCTTCTACCTCAGAGGTGTCTCCATGTCCATAATCAGGCTACTCACTAGTTTTAAGATTTACTTTCCTCATTTGTAAAATGAAACTAGTAGTTGTACCTACCTCATTAAGTGAAAATTAAATGAAGTAATCTATGTAAAGCTTTATGGTATACCTCAGTCATAATGAGTGTGCATAAATTGTTGCTATCCTCCTTTTCTTTCTCGTTATCATCATCCAGAAAACCTTAACTTTTAGTCAAGAGTCCAAAAAGAGATAGGGGCGTGGGGAAGCCCTGAGAGGTTGGGATCTGGGAACAGGATAGAGGACAAGCTAGGGTTTAGGAACAAGAGGCGTGATCAGGAGTTCCCCTCCTGCTTCCCTAATTCCTGCAAGTTACCTAGACCCACGAGAGCTTTCCTTACCTTTATATCCACAATGGAGTCTAAGGAACACTGAGTGCTCCCTGGGTTCATCAGCTGGAGAGGGATAAAGATGAGAAGGCAGCAGGAGGTAGACTTCATCCTGTGGAAAGGCCATGTCCTGGGACTGGAAGGAAAGATTGGGAAGAAGCTGAGGTCTCTGAGCTCCCATGTGGTTGAGAGGAAGGGAGGAGAGAACGTGGAGAGTCCCGAGAGAGTACAGATGGAGGAACGGCAGTGTCTGCACGGAATTTGGATCTCTCTAAGCAGATTGGAGAACCAGGGAGAGTGGCTGCAAGGAGGACTCACTCACCAAAAAGTACAGAAGAAGTCTGCAGAGATTGTTCAGGCAAGGATGTTTTATAACCTGTGGTATTAACCTGGGCCCCCTTTAAAACACAAGCATGCACACACATACCAACACACGCCCTAGTACATTTTCAAAGAACTGTGCCAGCTGGAGTGTGACGTGCAGCAGTGATAAACTTCTCTGTGTCCGTGATAAGCACCAGCTGCCTTTGTTCTGGTTCTCTGCTAAGGGGAATCCTCTTGCCTTTCTTTCTTTTCTTTTCTTCTTAGAAACTTGGCAAGGCCAGCACCTGGGCCTTCTGTTCACTGCCGCCTATTATAGGCCTCTTGCTTGATTCTTCATCAGGAAGAGGTTACTTTGTGGTCTGCTGAGTGAGGGCCCTACTTGTCACCTGTTAAAACAGGATTTTATTGTCCCTGGCTAATCCCATCTGTGGAAAAGTAGCAGAAAATCTGATGACTACTGATTTACACACAAGGAAGTTTACTATTTATTTAACCGGAAGCATGGTGCTTGATTCCAGAATTCTTTTGTAGACTCAACAGGGACATTACCAACCTGATCTTTGTCCTTTTTCCTCCGCCATTCTCAGTTCACTGGCTTTTCGTCCTTGACCTTGTGTCCCCATGGTCACAAGGTGGCAGGTATCACATCCTCAGTGGAGACGCTGAGCAGGAGGGAAGTATTTGGGTAAGGCCATTCTCTTCGGAGGCTTTGCCTTTTCATTTCAGAACCATGATTTTTCTCTAGAACCTCAAACAGATTATTCCTTACATTTCATTGTTCAGAGTGTGTCACGTGACCTCCTTTTCTACCACATGTGGCTGAGAAATCAAGTGGGGCTCCAGAATCCCTTATTTAAGACCACTGGGCCCAGGGGTGTTTCAGAACTCAGAATTTTTCAGGTATTAGAAGGTAAGTGAGTGCAAATGATGTATATTATGATATACCACCAAGGAGGTTTAGGGCAGCATTCTGCCATCAAACACATTAATAAGTCTCCTGCAAAAACGTATGAATATTCATAAAACATGTGCTAAAGACCATAAATAGCTGGATACCAAGCCATGTCAGGTTTTGCTGCCAAATGAGTTAGCTTCAAACTTAGGAAAAATGCTTTAGGCTTTCAGGGTCTTTTAGATTTTGGAATAATGAATAAAGGATTGAGGACTCGTATACGGTCAAGGGGAACAGGATTGCTGATTCATCCTCCAGAACAGGGCACAGGGTACCATGATTGAATTCCATGATTCAAGAGCATGACGAGGAAGCAGCGACTACTTATTGGAGGCAGTCAGAGGTGGGAAGATTGGCTCTGCTCCTGCTGTGGTCAGCCTCACCTCCCCCTCCCTAGAGATGCCTTCTGATGCAGTTATTTCTTCTATTGGGTTGTTGGAAAAGTCATGATGCATTTTTACAACAGAAAATGTAGAAAAAATACGTCATGACTTTTCCGACAACCCAACATATACCTCTCTTGGGCAAGTTTGAGAATGAGACTCAGTGATGGCAGCACAAGGCAACGATGCTTTTTTGAGGAAAGTAACAATAAAGATCAAAATGGAGCACAGACTTGGATTTGGTATAGAAGTTCAGTAGTTTAATTTATTTGTTAATTCAGTGACTATACAGCTTCTCTGTACTACTTCTAGCTCTGGTGACTCAGCAATGGGCAACATAGGGAAAGTCTTTGCCTTCTTGAAACTACATTGTGATGTGGGAGATAAATATGTGATATGTCAGAAATTGAAAAATTCCCTGAAGAAAAAGAAATCAAGGCCAGACAATTGAGTGTGCCTCTGTGCTGTTATCATAGTGCAGTGTGTCCAAGGAAGGCATCTTAGAAAAGGTAACTTGTGAGCAATGACCTGGAGAGGTATGGGGCTGGGCCAGAGGAAAAGCTGGGCCAAATGTTCCAGGCTATGGGGGGAGCAGGTGTAAAGAGCCCAAAGCAGCGAGATGGTTGGTGTGTTGAAGGAATAGCTACAAAGGCAGTGTGACTGGAGTAAGTGAAGTGACTAGGAGAAAAGGTGTCAAGAAATACAACTGGGGCCAGAGTATATAACACTTGTAAGCCAACATAAGGGCTTTGGGTTTTAGTGTAAATCTGACAGAAAATTGCTCAAGTGTTTTGCTCAGGAGAGTAACATAAGATGATTCATGTTTTAGAAAGCTTCCTAAGGCCACTGTTTTGGAAAAGAGACTGGAGAGAAAACAGGTAAGCAAGGAAACCAGGCAGTAGGTTTTTGCACAGTTCCAGGCCTCAGACTGTAGTCAGGGAAGGAGTGAGAACTGGATGGATTTGGGTTAGACACGGAAGGCCAAGCCTCGTTAGGGTTTACTGATGGACTCGTACAGGGGAAAGAGAGTAGTGAAAGCTCAAGGTTATGTTCTGAATGACATGGTGAAGAATGATGCCGTTTACTGAAATGGGCACTCCTGGGAAAAGAGTAGCTGTCACAAGAACATTAAATCATATTTCATCATGATCAACTTATTTATTTATTTATTTTTAATTGCATGCTGGTTTTTAAAACAATTTTTTTTTAATTTTTCAATTACAGTTGACATACAATATTAAATTAGTTTCAGGTGTACAACACACTGATTAGGATTTATATAACTTACTAAGTGATCACCCCAATAAATCCACTATTCCTCTGACACCATATATAGTTATTACAACATAACTGAATGTATTCTCCATGCTGTACTCTATATCTCCATGTATTTGATCATGACCAATTTAATATGCTTGTTAGACATCCAGGTGGAGCTGTGGCTTAAGGAGTTGGGTAAACAAGTCTGGGGTTCATGGAAAAAATGAAAGTTAGAGATATAAATTTGAGAGTAATCAGTAAACAGATGTATATAATTATATAGATAATCTAATAAAAGAAGAGAAATTAAAAAAAATTAGGGATCAGATAAAGAAAGTGATAGACTGGAAAGTGAATGACCAAAAGGACATTGGTTTAAAGATATGAAGTGAATTGCATTGACTAGTGAGTTTGTTGGGAATAGCAGGGAAAAAGAACAGGATCACACGAAAGTGTTCTTGGGTTAAAATAAACCTGGACAACAGGGATAGTGACCACCAATCACCCCTGAGCAGCACTTGTAGTCAGTAGCATGCCTATTGTACACCCAGAGGAGATCACTTTTAACATCCCTGTTAAACAAAGTTATTTTATTAAATTAAATATAACAAAATTATTAAATTAAATATAACAAAATTATTTCCAGTAAATATTATACAGTGATCAGTGATAAGCATTATTTTTTGTTTCATTCTCTGGTTTTAAAACAAAACAAACTATTAAAAGAATAAATGCCAATTTAAAAATTATTGTTAAATTCAGTATAATATTTTTGTGTGTACTAGAACTTGCAGTTACCAAACAAAAATATTATACCTTTCAGTTTGCACACTCTTTGAATTTAAATTTTTTTTTTTTTAGATTTTTATTGGGGAATTGGGGGGATGGGAACAGTGCTGGGGACTTGGGGGAAGGGGAACAGACAAGTTGCTGTCCTTTTGTTCTTCAGTCTAGTTGTGGAGGACGTCGCTTCACTGGCCCAAGTTGGCACCATCATTGCGCTCTTCCCGGGCAAGGCAGATCAGTCGCCGGCTTCTGGATGGCCACTCACTGCGTCTGCTGGCCGCTCACGCTGGCTGCTGGCTACATACGGTAGCCCATGGCAACCCACTGCCACAGGGACTGGAGCCTATGCCGTCACCGGTGACTCACAGCAGCCCAGCTCCAGGTTGAGCTGTTGTTCAGCATCTTAGCTGTGGAGGGCAGTGTCACTGGCCCTCATATGTGGGATCCAAACCGGGGCCCTCTGGTGTCCCAAGCCAGTTCTTAACCATCGCACCACTCGGCCGACCCGAATTTAAATTTTAAACACAATTAAATTCCACGTAATCATATAGAATGACCCAACTGATGTAATTCAAGTTCTGTTCATTTGTCTTTACAAACACTGGGCTACCATTGCTTATTTAAAATCTATTGTTTAGCTGCAGGAATATGTAGTAGCATAGGAATTGGTGACACAAATCCAAACGTGAATGTTTCTGAACTATTAAGAACTAATTTATTTTAAAAATGAAGGCATACAGCTAAGGCCGAGTATGTAGGGTCTCACTATGTAACTTAAAGTTCTGTGAACTGACTTCCATGTAAAATATTGTACTTATTAAAAGAGAAGTAATAAAAATTGCTAATTAGAAGTTCACATATTATTGTTGAAACTCGACAGTAATCGCAACAATTATTTCGCCTAACAATATTTTCAGGGAGAAGTGTTTTACCATTGACATTATTTAGAATTGACAGTGTGTGGTGATAATAAAAATCAAATTGACTTTTACTAGGATTTATTATTGCTTTTAAATCTTCTATAGACAATGTACCATGCTTAGTGCCTGCACCTCTACACCTCTCTGCTTGTCGTATAAAGACATTGCCTGGGATAAGCTACTGCGTGGTAGAGCTTCTACCTCAGCATTCCTGGAAAATGTTCAGGAACTCCTATACAGAGAAGATGGAAGAAAGGGTTTTGTTCCTCCAAAATTTGTAAACTCAGTGGAGTCTTTTAATGTTTTGTTTTTTCTCTCTCTCTAGAGCTACCTTCTTCTTAAGAGTGCACTCCTTTCCTAATGACCCAAATGTCGAGGTACATTTTTAATCTTTCTTATCACCTCTCCCCATCCAACTTTCCACTGATTACTTTGTATTTTGTTTTACATAAATAAAGTTTGAAAAGTTGCAGAAGGTAGAGGCTG